AAAAAAAAAAAAAAAACAAAGAAAAAAAAAAACTGAAGGAAGAAAATAAACCTCCAAAGAGAAAATGACAACATCAACAAAAAAACCCAAAAACACCTGCTAGTAATTTCTACAGCTCTGGTAGCATGGATTACCTAGGAAATTCCTACCCAAAGATAAAATCCCTTCTGGGTGGCTATCTGCCTCCAAGAGAAGAGTACAGGCACTATTTCTGTTGTATTTTGGAGAGAGGCCTAGACTTTGATCTTGAGCTCTAATACATATCCTCTGATTTTACAACCGATTCCTGGAATAATTTACAGACAGATTCTCTTGATTTTGATGTAATACTGACCAACGTTTATTGAGTATTTACTATATGCTAGGCACTATGCTAAGTCCCTCACATGGGTGTTCCCACTTGTATCTCACAGGCACACTCTGTAGTCAGTACACTTATCATCTCCATTCACAGCCAAGGACACCGAGGCTTGGGGTAGGTTAGGTAATTTGCCCAAGCAGCACACTACCAACAGGTGTAGCAGTTCTCCCCAGTAGGTCCTATCTTATTTCAAATAAGTTATTTATATTGTACAATGTACAAAATGCACTGCATTATAACCTTTTGGTTCAGAAAATATTATCATGTATACACATGTAAGTGACATACAACAGGGCACAGTCAACCAATGGCTAAGTTGGGATTAAAACTGGGAATTCTATATTATAGTCTCGAAATCATTATTTTTTTCTTGATAGAGGTAGTGTGGCCTTGTACAACAAGGGTCCCTGAGCAGCCAGGAAAGGGCAACCTTGCCTCATTTACCAACATCACTGCCTTTGAAAGAAAAGGGATTAACTAAGAATTAAAGAAAAGCTCCATGGGTTCCTGCCTTAGGGGCTCCCCAGGTTACAGGCAGGTCCACAAAACAGCAAACAACTTCTCAGATCAGGGGCTTGTTCTCCTGAGACTCAAGTCAACAGCTCTCTGGAGAACAACACCTGTATCAAAAATGTTTGGACCCAGCCATCCCAGGACTGCCTTAGGGTTTGTTAACTCATTAAATGTTTGCCACCACCTGGAGAGCGAATCCAGATTGTTCCAGCCTTTAGGATCTCTGAACCAGGGGCATCAAAGATCCAACTGATTCCTGCTGTGGCTATAATCAAATTTCCTCTGGGAATTTACATTGGGTTGTAGAGAACAACCTTCCCCCTCATCATCTGTTTTTTTTTTCTTTTTTTCTATTGACATAGTCACTGTAGCACTAAAAACAAGGAGAGTCATTTCCCTCTGGGATTCAATGAACACACACACCCTGTTCCTGTAACACAGCGATGAGGAGTCAGTAGTCAGTACTACGTCACTTTTATCTAGATTCTGGACAAGCATTTATATACCATTTCAGTTAGACACTTTAAAGCACAATGATTCAAATTTGTAAAAACTTTCAGCTAAACAGTCATCACTGGTATGCTGTGAAGTGGAATTATGAAACTATAGGGAACTTGGAATTTAACAATGCCAAAAAATGCACCAAATTTTTCTGGACCTTCCTGGCAAGAAATTAAGCTTGCCTAATCTGGCACCAAATTTTCCTGGCAAGAAATTAAGTTTGCCTAATCTATTCTGCCAGAAGGTTAATTTCTTCTCCTTTCTTTTCAGTAGCCATTCAAAGCAATCTGTAGCCTACCTCACATGTGCCCAATCAAAATTCCAAGGTAGTGACATGGGAGAGGGGAAGAACAGAGCCCTGTGAGGGCCACTCACCAGCTATGGCGCCAGCCAAGAGCAAGCTTCCGGGACTAATCTGCCCATCTTCATTTGCAAAGGAAGCCTTCACATGAGCATAGCATGGGAAGTAGATGGCCGAGAAAGGAATGTCCCGCAGAAAGCATGCTTTGGCACCCTGTACATTTGAAAAGGAAGAAAAACCACATGAAACACATATCCCATTGAGAAGATCAAGCTTTTCTGGAACTTACCTCAGAACAAAATATTCCTGGAGAAGACCAAATTTGTACTCACAAACTGAAAGGGGAACAAAAAAAAAATAACCCAAATTCTGCAAGTAACAAATCTGAATTTTGTTTTTCAAAAATAAAACAAATTTCATTGTGCAGTATGAGAAAGAGGGAGGCACTTCTTGTTTATTGCAATGGCTAGATTTTGATTAAAACACTTTTGGAACTCTGCCCGCAACATCTCTTTAAATCCCTACCGATGGCAAGTCAGTCACTGGCATCTCAAGGAGGGTCTGTACTCAGAAGATGGACAGCAAAAACCAAGAGGCCCCTTTGTTTACATACTAGGAAGCAAATTATATAGGTGGCAAGGGAAGAGGTTTGTTCTTTATATTGTTTAAGACTCTGATGAAAGTGTTGGACTCTTTCCCAGAAAAAAATTACACATACGTAAAAAATTATATACCTTTTGAAGGGGTTCGTGGATCCCCTAACTTATTCACATATTTGCCCCTTCTCCCCAAGGGTATGAAACATTGATAAATGCTTATTCTAAAGCCTTAAAATATTTACAATAATTCCTACCCATTTAAGAGCTGTGTATAGAGCAATCAACAACTAGAGCAAAATCTTCAAACAATTTCTAGTGTCAAAATAATGCATGGGGAGGCCTTGAGAACTGATGTGTGCCTAGAAATGTAGCGTTCTGATGAAAACCACAAGACATATATTGTACTTTAGGCAGGCCAAATGGGAAGGAAGTCACCCCTTTTCAACACCTAATGATTTAGTACCATTTCTTTCACAGATTTCTAATACCTAAAAATTTCCACTAAAGAAAATAATGAATCCATCCAGATTCAACAGAACTAGCCAAGCCCAGTGACATTTAGTAAGGTCTAGTGATGTTGGATCGCAGGTATTTTTGCTTGATGCTAGGCTCCACTGTCAAGGTTCCTTAACACTACAGATCTGTTACTATAGCCTTTGCTTTCTGACTCCATCATTACACTCCTGACTCAAACTGCGACTGTGGGTAATAAGACCCTTAGTCTTTTTCATACGAATTGCTAGTAACCTAGGTCTACTATAACTTAATTAGTTGCCTTAAATAAGTAACATAATTAGGACTTTGTTTCACCCTATTTAAATTCATCCTAGCTTCGCCCATCCTTCTAACCAGAACAAATGCTTGGAATCTGGATTCTGTTGTGTTGGCTACTTCCCAGTCAACTCACCCATGAATGTGTTAAGATATCTTTGTCCTTTCTATATAGATATTTAAAAAAAATGGGGGGGGGGGCAAATCCACATCATGTACTGCTTGCCAATCAACCTACACTTTTGTATCTTGTCTACCCCCGAAACTGTTAAATGCCTAACTGAAAAGAAGAACCACAAAGTGGTTTTATACATGCAAAGTGATGCTCAGGATGATTAATCCATCAACTACACATTTATTAAGGGCCAAACTATTGGCTTCCTCAGGGGAGATCCTTGGAGGCAGTGCCCAGAGAAAGTCCAAAACTCAGGATAGGACTCTCCAATATTTCCACCTCCCCCAGCTTTTTCAAGGATGAAAAGTACAGTAGAATGCCAATATCCATGCACAGCATCCAGTCCTTCCCATGTGATCATTACTGTGTGAGAGTAACACTTTCACCCGTTTGTTTCACTATTTTCACTTCCTTTTCCTCATTTTGCCTCCAAACCTTCCTAGGAGTTGTGCTAGTCATTTACTCCCATGCAGACAGTGTTTGGGAGATATTCAAATTAGATGCCAAATAACCAATTTAAATTAAGATCAGTTAAATCTTCTTCACATCTGGCTCTCCATATATAGTGAAAGAAACACTGCCATAATGCTGACTTTTTAAACAATCTCTTTAGAGTAATTTTTAATAAGCTGATACAATTCTTCCTCCCACAAATCGTGTTTTTTACTAAACCTATTAGTTTTTACTTTTACCCTCACCTCCCAAATATTCACATTTTAGAGCCAAACTTCAGTCTATTTTTTTGCTGGTAATACTTTTCCTTCAAAATGTTTCTCCCCTCATTATAAAATATTAACTGCTCATCATAGACAATATAGAAAAGCATTAGAAATTAAAATTGCTTAATTTTCACCAGCTAGAGATAACCACTGCAACTGTACATGTTTTGGAGCTTTTCTTTCATCAGTAGCATTAATAACCATTCCATGGTTGAGACCATCATTCTGTGGTTCTGAGTTATCCTTTTCTTCTCTTTAAATTCATGGTATGTGGTTTTGTGGGGTTGTCTTGGGAGGTTGGAGTGGGGAAGGACTGGTATGGTCTAACATCTCTTTTATTACTCAGCCATATTGCCCAAATTTCCTTTCTATTTGTTGTTTCCAAAACTCTACCGCCATCTTTGGTCTTGGCAGTCCTGTGGATTAGGCCCCATATTCTCATTCTTCTCAAAGCTTTGTAATGACTTTACTTTCCCATTTTCCTCTCTCTGGTCAGCCTGGTTCCTCTTAAATAAAGCTGTTCAATGCCTCACTCATCTGATCAAACAAGGTACACCTGTCACCGTGCAACTTCCTTGATGAATGCTAAGCTGGGAACATCAACACCTTGAATATCACCTCTTCATTCACTTAACCCCCAAATACCACCCTTTCCACTGAGCATTCTTTAACCAGAAGGTAGACAGGCAGTGAATTCCACACAGCTCCACATTGTCTGCACTTTCTCCATGACGTTTTGGGTTTTCTTCATGCTCTTATATCTTGCCTATATCAGTGTTGCCTAATTCAGAAAATAAGCAACCAGGGGTCAGGAACCAGGGGCTAGAGAACACTCGGCAAAATCTTTGGCTGTCAGCTGGGGCATGTTTCTGGTGACACTGATTTGACTTTGCCAACTCACACAAAAAAGAAAACACAATGAAAAAGAGAAACGAGAGGCTCTGGGATATGCTGTCAGGCTCCTACTGGGAAAACAAACTCAATTTCTTGGAAAAATATATTAGAAACCAAAGCCAAGCTTTTAGTTTTCAAATAAAGATCTATAATTTTAGGGGGATACAACAGCGCTTAGTTGACAATTTTGTACTGGGATATTAAAATTTGAAAAAAGGAGAGGAAGACAGCTGCTAGCCCCTCTAATGTTATGTGCCTTCAATATGATCAGAAGGCCATGGGAAGACATGATCTGAAATTAGAAACATCCTGATCAAAACACAGACAAGCAAGAACAAATCTAAGGGAAGAGTGGAGCTGCACTATGAAACACCAAAGGAAAAATGGTCAGGAGGATGCCGTATTTTTCCTACCTGGAATCAGACAATGTGGTCCAGTAATCTATGCGTGCTAGAGAGTGAACGTCAGACCGTGAAGAGAGGCCATAGGTTTCTAATTATTTGAGAAAAGGGAGAAGGAAAAGCCAAGAAAGAAAGCTATCCTATGGGGCCAGGGGTTTAGGAATAAATGAGGGAATAACCACACAAGTCCTGAGGAGGTAACACCTGCAGTACTAACGTAAGGAGGGAGGGGGACGAGGATGGCTGTGTCTCCTTGCCTCTCCTGGAGCCTGTACCCTTCCACAGCACAGCACCTCAGGCGTCTCCCTGCAGCAAATCACTCTCCAGGGTCAGGAGGTGCCCGTGGCCTCTCTCACACCACAGGCATCTAAGTCCAATTCCCAAGGAGAGCTAACTTTGCAAAAGGCTAGAGAAAAAGACTTCTTAAATTTCCCTGGCCTCCTCTCCCCACCACTGTCTTCAGGTCTAAGGCACAAAGGCAGGTGCCAATTTGTAAGGCTGCCTCAGGCAATACCTGACCTGTGGCTCCAGTGCAATGAAAAGGGAAGCAGGATGTGAAAAAGGCTTTTAAAGTTCCAACAGGGAGAATGTTTCTCTCCCAGATTCCTTGATAAATCCTTCACTTCACGGTGAATACCCATTCTCCAGTCTTACATCACAATACAAACCTGTCTGACTTGAAATCTACTTGTGCCACTTACAATTTTACTAAGTGATCAGCCATTCTGAACAGGCAACTTTATAATAAAGGGCAACATTCCATGCTGTCCAACAGCCTGCGTCAGCAACACAAAAATCATGACTTTGGCCATTAAAAAATTAATGAATTACAAAGTGTGTGCCACCTAAAATAAATCTTTAAATCTTCTTGCCCTATAAGAAAATCTACACATTTGCCTGCCTTAGGTCTTCCTCACTGGTTCTCTGGACATCTCTGCCCTCAGACACTCTGGTTAGCCCCAAATTTCCTTTGTGCACACAGTAAAGTCACTTGGGGGGGAAATTCATAAATACAATAAGCAATCATCTAATCTCTTACTATTCATTAAAGCACTTTCTCCAAAGAGGGAAAATTATTGTATTTTTTAATTTAGTGGGCCTTCTTAAGTAACAGACAGGAACAGTAAAAGGCATCTCAGGGGAGACCTATATATAAATAAACTAGAATCAAAACTCAGATCTAGTTTAATTATCCACTCTGGCTCCATTCCTATTTTGTACCATTCTAAACCCTCTCCATCATCATTCTACTTAAAGTCTAGGAAAACTTCTTCAAGGGTTGGTCTCACTTAACTTACAGTTAGGAGTCTAAAACTGACACAGGCTAGTTAGGCTCAGAGACACTGGCCATAGTATCACCATGGCATCAGAATTCTTTCTTTTGCTTCTCATGCTTTTTTTTGATATGGATACTGTGGAAAGCCCAAGGGAGTTTAATCAGTTCTTAAGTTGCTGGAATCATCCACGCAAGTTTACTCTGGCAGCTCTGTCAGGCATGAAATTGTCAAAAGATAGAATACAACAGGATTTCTCTCTCTGACACACACACACACACACACACACACACACACACACACACACAGCTAGCTAGCTATCTCCAATATCTTTTTTTCTTCTTTTAAAGCTCTTCATCTTGGATGGTATCACACCTACC